CACAAGTCCTTTCTTAAATAAAACTAGTTTATTCTTTCTCAATAAAACTTTGAAATTCACTTAATTTCTACGGTCACGCTATAACAAACGCTATAATTCACAACGAACGACTCACGCGCGACCCAACTGTCCGTCTCTATATCTGTCTGCAATTCAACTACATTACATTGTTGCCGTCACTTCTTACCGGTCTTATATACACAAGAATACCACATATCTAGTAACCTCTCGAGGCTTCAGGAAGGGACATAAACGTCCTAGAAGTTCATGACGTGTTACTAGAGTCACGTGACTTCCATTGTCGTAACAATATGATAATTGTAATTTTTGTGACCTTTTCAATAATAATACTGAAAAAGAGAGAGAAACGTGAGATAGGACAGTATATCATGTGTGTATTCTGTCTGTCTTTTTAAATTAGTATATTCATATTGTTAAAGCAAGAAAGGCATTTCAAACTACATACAGTCAGACTGAAAATAATTTTTAAAAATATTTCTTTATTGGTCTTATAATACAGATTTCCAATGAGAAAAGATATAATAGTGTTGTAGGTTATGCATTTGATATTTTAATTTAAACACTATGAATTTCTTGCTAGATGGAGTTTTGGCATAATGTCTAGAACTGTCCTCAGTATCTAGATTTGAGGTGACGTCTCGAATTTTCGTGAGATCTGTAAAATTAAATATTGTGATATATAAAAACATAAATGAATCAGTTAGAGAAGTGTGACATTTCTATTACACATCTTTCCTGCAGAGTAGATAGGTAGGGTTTAGTAACTGGAAGTTTGAAGATATCAGACTATGGAGTGCATGACAGTACATCCCTATAATCCTAGGGAAGATAGAGTCGAATAAAAAAAAGGTGCACAATAAACACAAACAAAATTACAATCACAGTATCATACAATGAGACCAAGTGTACCTGTGGAGACTGTGTTGGACTGGCAAGATAAAGAAAGGAAGTTAAACTTAAGTAAACTCTCTCTCCAGTCCAGATCCCGGCATCTGAGGGTCGCGGGTTCGAATCCCTGTCCTACCAAACATGCTCGCCCTTTCAAGCCAACTATTCGTTGGTAAAAGAATAGCCCAAGAGTTGGCGGTGGGTGGTGATGACTAGCTGCCTTCCCTTAGCTGTCTTAAACTGCTAAATTAGGGACGGCTTTGCGCGAAATTCAAAAACAAACTCTCCAGTCCAATGCAACACTAACATTTAAGCTGAACCTAAATTAAAGTTAAAATAAAACATTTTATATCATGAGTTAAAATAAGATACTTTACTAAAATTATAAACTATATTAACAGTAAAATCAGAATAAAATCTCTAAAGAAAAGTTAAGTGAAAAATTTTACCAAAATCCCAGTTAAGTTATATTATATAATAAATGTAAAAAGTAAAATGCTGTTCAAGTCTAAGTTTAGAACTTTAGCAAAATCTCAATAAAATCCATACAGGAGGGGAGAACCTGGCTCTTAATACTAGATAAGCACAAAAAAACAACTCAAGGCAGGTTTGCACACGAAACTTGATTCTGCACCTAACCTACATCCATTTTGACACAAGTGTTGGGTGGGAACCACAGGTCATTACCCAATTCGCCAACAGAATAGATAGTTTTCTATATCTAGATGTCACACTCTTTCTTCCCTGTAAGAATTTTGCTTAATGCCAATTAATTAACAAACGATGTCCCATACATGTCTAGAAAAAGGCAACATTAAAAGGTTTTAATTTGAATGACTTTGCATCTAAACCCACCCGAAAGGGAAATGTACACATTAACTAAGAGATTAGAAAACATGACACTTGTTTTGTATAAGCAGTGAACCTGTTAGTGAGTGGTTAGTTAGTTAGTAAATGTGTAACCTAAATAACAATGATTTCCTTTCGTGGTGAATACGTAGTACCCACACAACTGGAGATCTGATATAAGCACTTCAATACAGAGTATGGGCCTATTCTTCTTTGACTCTAACCAAGTTACGTATTAAGAAAGAGACAGTACACAATCAAAATATTTTATTCTACCAAACACAGCCAAAGAGCAAAAATATAATATAAACACGTTTTTGGTATTTGTGTATGAAACTGGAGAGAGTATAAGAGAACTATTTTTTTCTCTCAACACCAGTTCAGTTAACTAGAAATTAAAATGAATCTCTCACAGTTAAAAGCAACATAATGTCCAAATCTGAACTAACCTGAAAAGTATGCCTAAATCTCACGTCAAACATTAGCATTGGTGCTTGTGGCATGCTGATAGCCTTCAGTCCACTGTTTCCTCCCAGTATACATTCCTGCATGTTATTTAAATATTATTAGCGATATTCTTACAGAAAAAAAGTGCGTGTTTAACATAGTTATCTGTTTTTAAAAGCACGGAAAGTCCTCGTGTAGCTTTGTGCAAAATTCAAAACAAATTCACCTGCTCCCTCACGTTACTGTGTGACGTTTGTTGATAAATATTTACATTTTGAAATTTAGTATTATACAATTAATATTATTCCAAGAACTACAAGAGAAGCTTAGGCTATTAATTAAATTATGTTTTTAGCCAGGATGCAGAGTTTGTAATTAAGAACGGGAACTGAGCAGATAAAGGGTTACAATTAGAAGCTTTCTAAGTTAGCAGTGAAAGACTAGAGGGAGGACAGCTCGTCATCATCACCCACTGCCTACTCTTGGGCTACTATTTTAACAACACATAGTGGGATTGACGCTCACATTATAACGCTCCCACGGCTGAAATGGCGAGCATGTTTGGTGTGACAGGGATTCGAACCCGCGACCCTCAGATTGCGAGTCGAGTGTCCTAACCACCTGGCCATGCCGGGCCAC